AGAATAGGTCTAGCCATGTCACTTTCCTGTGCAAAAAATTCCAGTGCTCTCTCTCAACTCTAGGATAAAAAACTGCTTTGGAACTTGAAGCTTTCTTACTCTTACTTTGATTGTCCTCCTTCATGTAGTCTGTGTTCCAGGCAGAGTGCCTTCTTGCTCTTTTTCCCAGAGTCCATTGGACCTTCCATCTCCGTGCTCCTATGCTGGTTGGCTGCCAGTTTTATATACTCTCCTTCCTCTTCTCTTCTTCTTTCGAGGCTCCAGCTCAGAGGCCTCCTTCCTTACCTGCTCCTGTTTGTTTTCCCTGCCCCACTACCCCACCACCATTACACCCCTCCCCTCACATTTACTTTGTCCATATGTTGGATCTGCTTATGTGTCTATGCCTTCCCTCTGATAGAATGTAAGTTCCTTGCCTAACATAGTAGGGTACCTGGCACATAGTAAACAATAAATGTTTTTTAATGAATTAATTAATATTTAACATGAATCAAAAAGGTGTAGTGGGAGGAGCACTATAAGGATGAGAAAGTTTGAGTGTTGCCCAGGCTAAGCCTTTGTTCCTACATCTCTAAAATGGAAATAATAATGCCTATCCTGCCTCCCTCGAGGGACACTTTCAGAACTAACTAGATCATGGATGTAAGAAAGCCTTAATAAGCATAAAGCATTATTGAAATAGAAAATGATTTATCTCAACAAATGACAAGTCTTAAAAGTCTCCTCATTTCCTCTCTCTTTTAGTTACAATTATTAGCTGTATTGCTGTTCAGTTTATAGCCAGTATCAGTGTTTGTTTGCCATTTCATTAATTTGAGGTTTAAACTTACCGTAACAATGAGCCTATGACGCACCCAGCCTTCCCTTAGGAAGGTGTTAATGGATATTTTTGTTACCAGAGACCACAATCATACCAGCTACAGATTGTTGGGCCCCCAGGTGTACAGTTAGACAGATTCAGGTGGGCGGTAGCACAACTTCTAAATTACCGTATTAGAAGCCAAATGTAAACAGTCATAGAACAGAGTGTCAGAGCCGGAAGGAACCTTGGAAGAGAGAGCATAGAATGTCAGACCTGGGAGGGACCTTAGAAAACAGAAGCTCGCTTTGTTGATGAGGAAACTGAGGTCCAGGGAGTTAAGTCACTTTGTCCAGGCTTACACCAGAAATTGGGATGGAGCTGGAACCGAAGCTTTTCCTAGCAGGCCACAGGAGCTCTTCCTAAAGCCTTTGGAAAAAACATGGAAATGCTTTTCTTGTTGTCTGGAATATTTTGCTTCTGAGGGCTTTCAGTTTCTGTGTTAAGAACTATAGCATCTAGGGATAAAGAGATGTCTGTCCCTCCATACTCTATCCTTATCAGGCCTCATCTGGAATGTTGGATTCAGTTCTAGGGGTAACATTTTAGGGGGGACATTAATGAACTGGAAAGCATCCAGTAGGACAACTCAGATGATGAAAGACTTCAAGTTCATGCCATATGAGAAATCACTTGAAGAAACTGGGAATATGTAGCTGGGAGGAAAAAAAATGCTGGGGGAATATGATAGCTGTGTTCAAGTTTAGAAGTGCTATTATTTGATGGAGGGATTAGTCCTGTTCTGCTTGGCCTCAGAGGGTGGAACCAGGTGTAGTGGGTGAAAGTTGTAAAGAGGTTAATTTAAACTTGATGTCTGGAAAAAATTTCCCAACAATTGGATCTGTCCCAAAATTGAATGGGCTGCCTGAGGAGATCATGATTTCCTCTGATTTGAGGTAAAAACTAGATTAGACTACTCAGCTAGTCCGTCAACAAGCATTTATTAAGAGCTTACTATGGGCTAAGCATTATGCTAAGCACTAGAGATAAATTAGTCCCTTCTCTCAAGGAGCTCACAATCTAATGGGGGAGACAGAATATAAACAGCTATGTACAAATAAGATATATACATATATATTTCATATGTATGCATATGATATATGTATATATATATACATATGATAAATTGGAGATAATCAACAGTGAGAAGGCATAAGAATTAAGATGGATCAGGAAAGGCTTCCTAAAGAAGAGATAGGACTTTAGCTGAGACTTGAAGGAAGCTGGGGAAGCCAGGAGGCAGAGATGAGGAAGGAAAGTATACGAGGTATAGGGAGGGGACAGCCAGTGAAAAGGGAGAGTCAAGAAATAGAGTGTAAGGAACAGCCATGAGGCCAGTGTCACTGGATCACAGAGGACATGGAGGGGACTAAGGTGTTAGAAGACCAGAAGGGTAGGAGGGGGCTAGGTTGTGAAGGGCTTTGAATGCCAAACAAGATTTTATATTTGATCCTGTAGGGGCAACTGAGGGTAGAGGTAGATAGAGCACTGAGCTTGGAATCAAGAAGACTCATCTTCATGAGTTCAAATCCAGCCTCAGATACTTAATAGCTGTATGACCCAGGGCAAGTCACTTAACCCTGCTTGCCTCAGTTTCCTCATCTATAAAATGAGCTGCAGAAAGACATGGCAAACCACTCCAGTATCTCTGCCAACAAAACCCCAGATGGGGTGATGAAGAGTTGGACCCTATTAAAACAGCTCTGCAACAACAGCATGGGTGCTACTCTAGTTGGATGAATAGGGGAGTGACGTGATCAGATCTGTGTTTCAGGGAGATTCGTTTGACAGCCAAGCAGAGGATGGGCTGCAGGTGTGGTGTCAGCACCTGCTAGGATTTTTGCTCTAAGGCTTCTTCCAGTTTTTCCCCAGCTCTGACAAAAAAAAGAAAAAGTCACACCATCCCTGCCTTTATAGAACTTCCAGCCTGATGGAAGAGTAGAGTAGGGTATAGTCACAGTTTAGTATAATACAGGGGAAAATGTGGTGAGGACAAAGGAGAGGGCCAGGCCAAGTGCTGAGAGACATGTGAGTAGGGGTCACATTCATGTAGGTTTGTGGGTGGAGAGTGAGAAGAGCATGGTGACCATGAAGCAGATGACATGTGAGTTTGCCTTTAGACAGAGATAGGGGATGGAATAAACCAAAGCTCAAGAGTGGGGGATGGTAGGGACCAGCATCGCAACATAGGGAAAGAATCCTGGATAAGCAAGTTGGAGCCAATTTGTAGAGGAAGCCGAATGCCAGGCTCAGCAGTTTAAACCTAAATTGGGAAGATAACAAAGATGGGTGTAATAAGATGATCATCAGATACTTTTGAACAGCGGTAGAGAAGACATAGTTAGAAACAGTCTATCTCGGAGGCAAAAAGACCCACCTCAAAGGTTATTAAGATAGTGTAGGGGAGAAGAGGCCCAGGCCTAAGCAAGGTGTTGACAATGAGAATGGAACAGAGCATGGACCTGAGAGATATTTTTACTTTAGCTAATTTAAACATATTAAATTACTAATCTTATGTCCTGCTTCCAGTGGCTCTGTGAATAATGGTTCATGGTTTTGCCCCTAACACAGTCACCGATGTGGCATGTGAAACCAGGGCCCCTGATTCCAAGCTTAGTGTTGTTTTCACTGCATCTTGTTGCCTGTATGAGACAATGGATGAAAAATGACTGAAGCATTATGGATGGTAAGGGAGGTGTTGTTATAAGAACTTATTGGTATAACAGAAGAAGCAAGAAGTGTTTTGGGAGTTTAAGAGTCGGTTCCAATTCTTCCTGGCAGTGTAACTGAGCAAATCATTTTACCTCTGAGCCTAAATTTCCTTATCTTTAACGTGGAGATAATAATCCTTGGACTAGTTACTCCATATGATTATTATTTGAAAGTTCTTTTTTAAGCCTTAAAGTTCACTACCAATATGTTGTTTTTGTAATTATAATGTAATCTTGTAGAGATTTAGATATAATAGAGATACATTGTGGTTTAGTGGTTAGAGAGATTGAATGAGAAAGACAGAGGTTTAAGGCCCATCTCAGACATACTGGCTAAGTGTCCCAGGCAATTAGATCGTAAATCCAGTGCCTGACACATAATAGGTGCTTAATAAGTACTTTCCAAGTATGATAGTGTTCGTTTAACTCTTGTTCCAAGATGTAGAAGTGGAGGAGGGGGTTACATGGGCATGAAGATGACTGGAGAACAGCAGACAGTGTTGGGGGAATCTTGTTCTGACTAGTTATGAATAACCCTGACCAATGAGGAGTGAGTAGAATCCCAGGGTGGGAGATGGAGAGGCTTGGCATTAAGATGACCAGTCAGTTAATTGGAAAATTACCAAACCATGGCTGACCCACTGGTGTCTTCCTCCCTTCCCTGCCCCTTCACCTCCCTTTTGTGTGTTGTCTCTCGAATTAGAATGTAAGCTCCTCAAGGGCAAGGACTGACCTGACCTTCATTCAGTGGATTTTTCTTACCCAGCTGCTCCCTACACCATTAAAATCACAGGTCTGGACTAAATAACGAAGTGTAGCACAAATGCAGTAAGGAAAGAGCATATGCCCCATTTCTTGTAGGCCTGTTGCTTGGTTTCTTGTAGGCCCAGTCTAATTGCCCTTCATTCTTGGGACATGCCTCTTGCTGATGTTTTTATACCAGAATGAAGTCCAAAAACCTGGGTTCAGCAATCAGTTGTGGCACTTGCTGCCTTTGTGAGCTGATGCTAGTCCCTTCACCTCTCTGAGAATCTTTTTCCTCCTCTGTAAAACAGAGCTAGTAATCCCTGTCAGGAGAATTGGTCTGTCCTGGGAAGCTGCCTTGTTCCCGGTGAAGCCATTTCAGTATCCAGCTGTGTTCTTGGACAGATATAACAAGACCCAGTAGAAAGCACTTGATCAGAAGACTGAGGTTCAGAGCCAGGGCTTTATATTTGGTAGCTGGGCGACCCTTAGCATATTGGTTTCCTGTCTGGGCCTTAGTTTCTTGACCTGTACAATGACTTCTCAGGTTCCTTTCCCTTACAAGTCCCTTGATTATGTGTCCCGCCCAAGTGACCTGGACACATTTCCCAATATAATAATGGGAACTGTCTGAAAAATCCCTACTCTCCTGGACGCCACTCACCAGCGGTTGCTTCTGTTTGCAGATGTGCCTCGTGGCAGCGGGGCTCACCTACCCTTGTCACCGGCTCACAGTGGGGAGAAGGTCTTCACCAGCACAGGCGCGGGAGGAGTCAGAAGAGGTAAGGCTACCCTTTTGGGCACCCCAGGAAGTGGGGTGCTGGCAAGATAGAGCTTCCCAGTGTGGAGGCCAGTGTGTAGCTGAGACTTTGGTTCTCCTCCACCTCTGAATATGGTGCTGAAAGAATACTTGGCCTGGTTTTATTGAGTGTTCCTGGCTATATCACTGTTATTTATTTCTTTGTCTTTGAAACAGAAGAGAGGCTGGTCACATAGCAGAGGAGAGGTATGCCAGTTGACCAGCCCAAGGGCCCTCACAATGACAGGAAAAAGAAAGAGGAGGGTCCTCAGCATGTGGCAGACTTACAGAAAGTCAGCCCGATTTGTGTATTTAGGTATAACTGATTAAATTAAAAGGTAATGTTTGTAATGCTTAGTAGCAAAAGTGCTAGAACTGACTCTGAGAAGACCTGGGTGTGAATCCTGCTTGCTACCTCTGTCACCTGTGGGACCAGGTCCTTTCTGGTCTCTGGACCTCTGTTTTCTCATCTACAAACTGGAGGAAGGCTTGACTTCTGAGTTGTCTTCCAGCTCTAAATAATGCAAAGAAATTTTGGAGGCGGGGGAAGGGCCAGGGATTGAGACTGAGGAGGTAAGGCCTGGAAGAGAAGGATTCCCAAAAAGGGCCCATTCTCATTGTGATTTAAAGTTCTTGGTTTGATCACTAACCCTCTTTTTGTGTTTTTCATTGTATCTGAAAAGGATCATGTTTGCTGATGCTAGTTAAATTCATAACAAAAAAGAAAAACTTTTTTTTTCAAATACACAGGAGGGTGCTCTGTGCGGAGTGAAGGTTTTTCTCCCACCACCCTTTTATTGTTTTCTTGACTCTTTTAGCACAGTTTTCCTGCACGTATGCTTCTGTTCCAAGGAGTCCAAGCATTTCCTGCTGTTTTTCTCTCCTTTGCTGAGTACAGCCCAAGGAGGTTAAGTGTCTCCTGAGTGCCTGGGACCACGTATATTAAGTGATCTAGCTAAAAAAGATGTGAATGTCAGTTCGGGAAAACATTGCTTGAAGAGTTGGCTGAAAGGGGACAGGAGCCTGATTTCTCTCTACTAACTTTGCTTCTCTGACCCTCCCTTTTCAAGGTTTGTTGAATTGAGCCTTCACCAGTGAGGATGCAGTGATAGGCAACATTAAGTGTTTATTCATTCCAAATATGTTGTACCTACAGGGTGCAGAACGCTGGGCTGGCCGGAGGAAATTTTATTAAGGTGTGCTCCCTCCTTTTATGGAGCCCCTATTCTAGACAGTTCCAAACTAGAGAACTCTGTTCCAATTGCGTGCAACATTTGGCCAGACATGATGAGCCAGCAGGATGCAGTGAGCCCCTCTCTGTGTGCCAACTTTGACTGAATGAGTGAGGTTATATTAGATCATGTTCATTCAGTTCAATTCAGCCAACATTTATTAAGCACCTACTGTTACACTTGCAGAAGATTACATTTTTATGGCATAAATATACAACACAGATCTTTGAGAGGTGCAGAAGAGCATAGTGTGTGTTTTATAAGCCTTTTTAGACTATAAGGTCATGGTGGGGTAGCAGAGGAAGGTCCCAGGGTAAGATTGCAGTGGCTGCCATGTAAGTCCACAGAAATATCCATCTGTGAATGTTGTGTGGAATAGCTACATGGCACAGTGGATAGAGTACCTGGCCTGGAGGCAGGAAGACCTGAGTTCAAATCTGGCCCTAGACAGTAACCAGCTGTGTGACCCTGGACAAGTCACTTAACCCTGTTGCCTCAGTTCCTCACCTGTAAAATGAATTGGAGAAAGAAATGGCAAACCACCCTAGTATCTTTGCCAAGAAAACTCCAAATGGGATCACAAAGAGTCAGATATAACTGAAAAGACTGAATAACATCAATAAAGAATGTTGTTCACTCCATCAACAAGCTTTTATTAAGTGCCTACTCTCTGCCAGGCTCTATGTAAGACACTGGGGATGACTTCCTAATTATTCTGCTACTTGGATGTTAGATTATTTACTCCACCTCTTGCAGAAGGTTCTTGGGAAAAGGGAAAGGGCCTCTCAGTCAGTTTTCACACAGGCCTTGAATTTAGAATGTTCCAATCATAGAATCTTAGAATTGGAAGAAACTTCATCTTTTCCATCCTCCCATACAATGTAAGAGTATTTGTTATTGCATCCTTGGCACTTAGTCAACTATTATCTGCTGAAACACATGATATTAATCAAATCACTGCCTGTCAAGAGAGCTCAAGGAGGCAGCGCTAAGACAGGGGAGTGATGGCAGGGACTTGCCAGAGCTCTCCCATATTCCCCTCCAAACAACTTTGAAATAATGCTTCAAAAGGAATTCTAGAGTCACAAAACCAACAAGTTAGAAGGTTGGCAGGAAAGATGTGTCTTCACTAGTGTGGGGGTAGAGCATAGTCTAGGTCAGGCCACACCTGCATGTAAGCAGTAGTGAATCAGCAGTGACTCCCAGAGCTCTCAGCCCACAGATGGCAAGGAGTTCAGGTAGCTGGTCAGAAGGAGATCATAGAGGACCCTTTGCTGGCACTGGATGCAGGACTCTGTCGCGTTGCCCATGTGCAGTTCCAGGTCACAGTCTCAGGGCAAAGAGGAGCACTAGTAAGAACATGAACACTAGTCACAGTACCAGGGTGAAAAAGAATGCTTGTGATCACTCACAGATTTGTGCACAGGCTAGGAGAATGGTAACCTTATCTCTCTTTCGATCATACCACCTTGGAGGAACTGAACACCTACAGACCCCCAGAGCTAGTTCTGAAAACAGCAGCACAAAAACCTGAAGCTTTGGACAGTGCCCCCTTCACCCTGGGAGCAAAGCCCAACTTTAACATAAAGGCTGGGAAAATGAGCAAAGAACAAAAAAGAACCTGAGCATAGAAAGTTACTATGGTTACAGGGAAGAGTGAAACACAAACTCAGAAGAAGACAACAATGTCAAAACAGTTACAGCCAAATCCTCAAAGGAAAACATGAATTGGTATCAGACCCAAAAAGAGTTCCTGGAAGAACTCAAAAAGGATTTAAAAAATCAAATAAGAGAGGTAGAGGAAAAATTGGGAGAGTGATACAAGAAAATCATGAAAAAAGGGTCAATAATTTGGTAAAGGAGGCACACAAAAAATACTGGAGGAAATAACACCTTAAGAAATAGAACAGGCCAAATGGTAAAAGAGGCACAAAAATCCATTGAAGAGAACAGCTCCCTAAAAGTAGAAATGACCACATGGAAAAAAGATGTACAAAAATTCACTGAAGAGAATTGGCCTTAAGAAACAGAATTGGCCCAAAGGAAAAAAAAAGATGTATAAAAGCTCACTGAAGAAAATAATTCCTTAAAAATCAGAATTGCCTAAGTGGAAGCTAATGACTGCATGAGACATCTAGAAACAATCAAACAAAATCAAAAAGATGAAAAAAAATAGAAGAAAGTGTCAAATATCTCATTGGGAAAGCAACTGACCTGGAAAATAAATCAAGTACAGATAATTTAAGAATTATTGTACTACGTGAAAGCCATCATCAAAAGAAGAACTTAGACATCATCTTTCAAGAAGTTATAAAGGAAAACTGCCCTGATATCCTAGAACCCAAGGGCAAAATAGAAATTGAAAAAATTCACCAATCACCTCCTGAAAAAAATCCCCAAATAAAAACTCCCAGGAGTATTATAGCCAAATTCCAGAGCTCCCAAGTCAAAAAGAAAATACTTCAAGCAGCCAGAAAGAAACAGTTCAAATACCATGGAGCCACAGTCAGAATTTATTATGTGGATTCTAACAAAATGTGACAAGTCCTTGGAGTACCAGATCATCTTACTTGTCTCCTGAAGGACCTGTACGTGGGCCAAGAAGTAACAGTTAGAACCAAGCATGAAATGAATAACTGATTGGTTTGATATTGGAAAAGGAATATAACAAAATTCTATATTATCACTTTATTTATTTAACTTATCTACAGAGTACGTCATGTGAGATGCCAGTCTGGATGAATCAAAAGCTGGAATTAAGGTTGCTAGGAGAAATATCAACAATCTTAGACATGCAAGTGATACCACTGATGGCAGAAAGTAAAGAGGAATTAAGAAGCCTCTCAATGAAGATGAAAGAAGAGAGTGTAATAGTTGGCTTAAAGCTTAACATCAAAAAAAAGTAAGATCTTGGCAACTGGTCCCATCACTTCCTGACAAATAGAGGGAGAAGAAATGGAAGCAATGTCAGATTTTATATTCTTGGGCTCAAAGATCAGTGCAGATGGTGACTGAAGTCATGAAATTAAAAGAAGCTTGCTCCTTGGAAGGAAAACTGTGGCAAATCACTACAGCATACCAAAAAGTACAGACATCACCTTGCCAACAAAGGTCCATATAGTCAAAATTAGGGTTTTTCCAGTAGCAGTATATGGCTATGAGAGTTGGACTATAAGGAAAGCTGAGTGCCACAGAATTGACACTTTCAAAATGTGGTTCTGGAAAAGATTTTTGAGTGTCCCTTGGACAGCAAGGAGATCAAATCACTCAGTACTTAATGAAATTAATTCAGGCTCTAATCTGGAAAGTCAGTTACTGCAGCTGGAGCTTAAATACTTTGGCCACATAATGAGAAGACTGGATTCATTGGAAAAGACCCTGATGTTGGGAAAGATTGAAGGTTAAAAGTAAACAGGGTTGTAGAGGATGAGATGAATTGATACTATCATGGAAATAATGAACTTGGTCAGACTTTGGGAGATAGTGGAGAATAGAAGGGCTTGGTATGCTATGGTTCATGGTGTCATTAAGAGTCAAGAACGACTGAACAACAACAACACAGTCAGGATCTCATAAGGTTTAGTAACTTCTGCATTAAAAGATTTAATAGCTTGGATTATAATATTCCAGAGGGCAAAGGAGCTAGGATTACAACCAAGAATCACTTCCCCAGCAAAACTGAGTATAATCCTTCAGGGGGAAAAATGGATATTCATTGAAAGAGAGAACTGTCAAACATTCATAGTGAAGA